AAGATCTATTATGATAATAATCTAATAAACTATTCACATATTTGAACACATTCTTAGAAAAAACTGAAGAATACATATATATAGTTCTTGAAATTAAAATGTTGAAAAGAGATCTCTCTTGTTTTATAACTCAAATTATCCTCAAATGTAAAGAACATGAAACAGAGGTGAACATACACAGTATATGCTGCCTTCTATGAGTGGTCCAGCCTGAATTACTTATTCCTGATCCTATCATCCTTGTCCCTCCAAAATGGGAACCTCAACATCTTTCCATCTGTTACCACCAGCTCTTCCTCCTGTCTTCCTTAAAACATTGCAAACCTTACAACATTGCTAGTCATACTGCCATATTTTAAACCTTTTATTTTTCTCCCCGCCTACATCACAAAACAAGCCTGACACATTTCTCCACCCATTCAAACTTGTTTGGACAGGTCTCATCTTTCCATACTCACCAATTATCTAGACTGGTAATAAGAACCTAAAATCCTCTATCCTCTTTATCTCTGCTCTGTTACCTCACAGCCCCATGGTTGCTTCTTTTTTTAGTTAAGAGCATCATAACTAAAAAAAACAAAAACAACATCAATGTATAGCAGCTCTAATTAAGTATACAAATATAGGCTTTCTGGCAAAGTGAATCCACCTTTCAGATATCACATTTTTGATAGATTTGAAACTGACAAATTAGAAAATAATGAATTTGTAAGGAGGACCTAGATAGTCACTGATAAAGAAAACCAGAAGCTAAATGGACCAGGTAAAGCAAAAACGAAATGCAATTTCAAAAAGGATTTTAAAATAAATAAAGGAATAAACGGAAATGGAGTAAGGAATAATACATTTAACTGTGTGATTAGGAAATGTAGTGAATAATCAGATTTATGAATTTTGGTTTTTAAATCTTTTTTCAGAAATGAAGATTGGAAAAGAAATTTTCAAATTGCATTATTTAATAATGCAGTCATAAATACAATTTGCAATTTGTCTTAAATAATTACATTTAAAATGCACAACCAGGAAATGCTTTTCAGTTTGGATTTCAAATTGTGTGATTGGCATTTGATAGATAAACAGCTATATTCATTTGGCCAGTATACAACTGCAGTAACACTCTTTTACGGTGGTAAACCTAATGAGAGACATTGAAAAATGCTTTTATCAATGTACAAAATATGTTCTTAGTAATATCTGCACATCTCAGGGTAGCTTGCTCTAAATTTCACGGTTTAGTCAAAGAGAATCAATTATATATATATATATATATATATATATAGAGGAAGCGGACCTGTCAACTCCACTCTCTACATATGATTCATTTTATGTTTTTATTAAATACTTAAATCCATTAAACCTTGACTCATTCCTTCACTAATAGCTGGATTTCATGGGTGTTTTCAGTTTAAGACTTTTGATTCTTTTGATGTTATTATATTTGTCATTATGTAACCACAACAGCTCTGCTACCAGCCTTGAAATTGCACAGAAAGTCTGGCCTCTCTCTACTTATTCTTCACAATGACATAGACATTTTAAAGGCATATAAAAGGATTTTTTCACCTTGAGGATGATGTACGACTCTCAGACAAACCCCAGAAGAGGGAAGTTTTGTTGAATAATTTTAAAATGTCCAGCTTCTATTTCTATAATCATCAAAAAGCACAATTCAATTATGCAATTTCATAAGAACCCTTAGTAAAATCACAGACTATAATCTGCTCTTAAACCCCTCTTTATCTTAAACAGAAGTGGTCATCCGTAGCCAGAGGAGAGTACCTACTGTTGACTGCCTCTATCCCTACCTCAGATTAATCTTTTAAATAGTTTACCTATGTTTGCTTATTAAACTCAAATTGACCAACTACCAATTCAAAAACTCTTCCACTTGCATAGCAATGAAGCCTGCAGTCCCTAACAAAGGGGCCCACATGGTGTCTTCCCTTCTGGACCTTCCTTCACCTGGTGCAATTGGCTAGAGGTGACACGCAGCTGAATCTTCTGGCCCGGCTTATTCTCTCTTCCGGGTCTGCCACCAACTCTGTCCCACGGTCAAGGAACAACAAGAGCAGGACCAGCCAAGAGCTATAGTCGTGATAAAACTTTTCTCAATCACAAACACCCTTGTCCAATGTTCACATTCTAAAGGTAGGAGACTCTATAATCAGAAAAATCCAATTTTAAAATCTATCTATGCGGTGGTTTTCATGAGGAACTGTTGCTTTCATTCTGGATAACTGTACAGGTCTGATTATGTTTAGAAAAATAACATTTCAAAGCTGTACCACTGTATCATTTGAAAGGGTTCAAATATTAAGTTTATAGGTTTTCTTTAAAACAACATAATGTAGTTAAATTACAGTAGATGATTAGAAAACACTGGAATTGTGTAATTTTTCTCATATTATTCATATTAAAAAAAACTAACTACATATCTGTATTTATATACTTTGACTGAAACAACTTTTTTCTATTCGTTAAGAGTGAATGTTCCTACCTTTACTATTTAAAAGCTAATTTAAGAGCTAATCCCATCCATGCTTTATCCTTCTGTTTTTTAATTTCCTCACTGTTATAGTAATTGTTCATATTTCTCTGTCCCTTTCAAACATGATAACGTTGAACCTGTTTTTAAAAAAAACAGCAGTTGGGATCCTTCTAATGACATTTCTTATATTCACAGTGACATCAGATATCACAGAAAAAAAACTGGCTGATCATCTGATTTGTTTAATGGAACTGCACAGGCTTTTTATATATATGTAACAATCTAAATATATATTTAATAGAAACTGCCGTGCATAAAGTTTCAGAGATCATTGTGGCCACAGAAGCAGGGAATTTACAGCTTAGGCTTAGTTAGACATTTCAGCAGTGTTTGACACTGTCTAATTAAATTAACTTCACTCCTTCCTAAACAGAGCGGTACAAATGAACATTTCTCAAGAGCTCAGTTTACACAGATTGAACTCAATTATTAATATTCTACATTCCTCATTGAAAATAATAGAAAAGTATCTCCAATCTCCAAACATTCATGAGTTTTTTTATGTTCATTCATCACTTTTAAATGACATCAGATGTCCTAAAAGGTGCTAAAAGCAGTCAAACGTCTAACATTTTACTATCTTATTAATTTTCTTATTTTCTGTCTAACACCAGTATGCTATAATGTATGATTCCGAAGAAGACTGTCCTTATTAGCATATGTTATGTTTCACATGTTTTTTTTATTGGTTTATTTAATACGTGTGAACTAAATCGTGAAAGAACCAAAGTATTTCAAATGTTTGGACATCTTTATTGATGATCACTAATAATGGACTACTATATAATGGACTTTCCATTAAATCACTTCCACTAAAACGTTTCTTTTTTTTAAGTTAAAGTAACAGGACAAAGTATATTTACTATCAGTATGGGCTTTGAAGGATAGGAGCTATATAAAAATGTGTGTGATTTTATAGCCTGATTGACTGTAGAATACATAGGACACAGGTACAGCAAGTATTATCCTAAGTTAGTATTTTTCAATTCAAAAACAAACTTTGTTTAGGTTTATTGTTAAAAGGAACTTTTAATGTGAACGATGCAACACTGATGATGTCCAACACCAGTATTTACACCTGTTTGATTCCAAAAATAGATTCACTTTACATATAAAAAGACCAACTGCATAAAAAATACATAAAGATTTTGATTTGGGAAACCGACCCTTGTCCTCAATTCTCACCAAAATATATAATCCCAATCTCTAGAGTTTCCCTGACAGGTATCACCAGGCCATGATGCAGCTACTACTGTGCTTTACTTTAGGAAAGTTTTTAAACCCATTTACAGGCCATTTAAGACTCTTTGTAAAGTTTTTGTTTTAAAAGATCAAGTAAAACTATTTTAGCAATATTATATTCTTTGTCATTTATAAACCATTTTAAAAGCTTAGACAATACCCCAAGATAAAATTAAGGGTTTGATGAAATTGTTAAAGATGTGTGCATAAAGGACTGTAAATTTGGACTAATATAAAAGAGATCACTATTTTTTTTCTAAAGACTTTTTTTTTAAGTAAGAGTACTTTACATGGAAGAAAAAGCTGCAATTGTGAGTGTTTCAGTCTCATTTAGGTTACCCTTGTAATAAATGCTGCCCCTAATGATAGGAAGGAAACCTAAGGCTGAGATTTCATGACAAACAGCCTTTATTTACAGTTTTAGTGGTTTTTAGTGTTTAGCAGGGGTTGTCTTACTCACAACCCCCAAAAAGCACAAACACTGCATACAGCATGTACTCAGAGAGCAGGAGTGCTGACGGTCGACTGATTGGGTCCCTGGTGAAGATAGGCATTGGTGAGCAAAAGAGTGCCCCTTCACTCAGTCCACTATCTTCAAATGGACCATGCAAGGTTGTTATCTATATTCAGGGAATGTTAAGAGCTAATGCCCAGGATCTTTGTACACACCTTTAAGGAGGTTTGCTAAAATGAGATAGCTTTTGCTTGATACATCTGTCAGACGCAATTGCTAGATTTAAGCCTCAAAGCACAAATCTCCAAACTGCAAACACCATGGATAACAACTCTCGTTATGACAAGAAGAAAAAATGCCGGCCTCTGTAGTAAGACTGTTTTTTTTCTCTAGATGAATGCTTTTTGGTAGTAGCTTCATATCGGAAACGCAAAGATAGTTGAAGAATTGCATGATTCTATAAATAAAATTAAGTTCAGAATGTCTTTATTGACTTTCTTTACAAGTGGAGAAACTTCTGTGAATCTCTTTCATTAAGCAGAGAATTGCAATTCAATTTGAACATAGAATAAAGAAGACAAAGATCAACGACACATTTTTTCAAGAGCCAGAGTAATTATTCTTTTCTTCTTCTCTGTTTATGATTTAATTAAGATAATCTCTCATTGCATGCATTACTATTTGTTTTACAAAGCAACTCAGATATTTGCTTTGCAACAGAAACGAACAGTAATCAATACAAAAAGCATGTCTTACCAATGTGTTTTCCATACATGTGGTAAAAGAAGCCAAAGCAGTACGCAGGCGGGTTAGGGTTGCCATAAGGGTTTTTGGGTGCGATGTTGAAAAAGGGGCTTACAAGCCGAGCCTCGTCTCCTTTCTTACGTGGTCTGGATGTTTCAATATACATGTAGAACCCTTAAAGCAAGAAAGAAAGAAATAAATTTTCTTAAAATGTATGAAGAAGTCTTTGTTGCACAAAAAGTACAAGGAAACATTTAAAATTCCTGCAAATCAGAGGAGAAAAACATGATAAAATCATTTGGTAGTCATTTATTCTTTGTTTTAAAAAATGGTAGGGAAAACTCCAGATTCTTGACCAAAAGCAACATCCATAATCATAGATTAAATAACCTGGAGATACATATTGGTAAAGTACGGAAGCCGAGAGTGGTCATACTTTTTTCCTTGGCCCTCTCGAGATAATGACATAACTAACTTGTTATCAAGGTTAATCAATTGATTGTTTTCTCGTGATAAAGAGATAATTACCTCGTCATCGCAAGAAAACAGTAATTGATCTCTTGAGATAACGAGATGATTAACCTGTATGAGTAATGAATGAGGCTGGACAACAGGACTGGAATCCCAGTCCATCCATGCCTGCGGTGCCCGTATGTGTCCGTTTGCAGAGCTGCGTGTGTGGAAATAATCAGATTTTTTGTTTCCTTTTTCTTTTCACTCATTGTCAGATCATGGTGGATGATTGCATGGCATGGAATACAGTAGAAACAAATCAGTTTTTTAAAGAAAATCTTTAATCCGGACTCATTTTGGTGGGTTAAAGCATCTTATACTGTAACAGAACAAACAGCACCTAAGGTCAGAAAAGACCTAAGGCGCCAAAGGCATAGGTCTAATTGCTTATGAATCAGAAGTGAAAGCAAATCATCAAACCAGAAACATTGTCTTATTACTTTAAAGTTAATCACAGGACTATTTACAGAATTACACATAGGCTGCCATGACTTATACTTATAAATCCTCTCCCGCTGTTGCGGTATTGAAGGATTTAACACACACCAATCATCTCGTTATGATGATAAAACAACTTCCGTTGTCTTATATAAAGAGAAAATTATCATCTCCTTATGATGAGAAAACAGCTTTTGATATCTTAAGATAATGAGAAAATTAACTCTTTTTCTTGAGAAAACCACCTTGAAAAAGTATCGGAGGGACACAACCGCTTTCGGCTTCCATAGTAAAGTGGAGGACATAGGGTCATTTTCTTAAGCAGGTGCCACCCAAAGCAGCTGGTGATATAAAGATTGTAGCAGCCAGTCAATAGAGTATTTGTTGCAAGTAATATTTTATACTTTTGAAAAATCTTAGCTTTATCCATTTATAGCTCTATAGAAAAAAAGATTTATAGTGTACAAAAATTGTCATATGTCATGCATGCATACCAACATATATTATGGTGGAAGAAGACTGCCAATAGCCCCTTAACTGAACTGTACCTATCGAAAGTCATTTTGCCATTGCAAGCAAACCAAACAAAGAGAAAACATTTATTGTTAGGGCATTATTGTGTAATTATAAAAAAGCTTAAATCTCTCCGTAATCTTAAACATGTTTACATTGCTTTGTACAGATTTCAAACCTCTTATATTATATCCCTATCGTTGATACAGATCCCTATTTGTGCAAAATAACTCTGACTCCTGGTATCTCAAATTTCACAGAGTAACTTCCAGCTGACATATTTAATTTTGATTACGATGACCCCACTTTATTCTAGTAGGCATAAGTGGGTTACATAAAATAAAAATCAAAGCATTAAAACAGGTACTAAATGTCAAAGACAGTTGGGATATAAAAGACTTTAACTGCAAAACCAATAAATCATAAGTATTGACTATGAAACATCTAAAATCAGTAAATGCATCCAAAGATATGTTAGTAGTTAAGATGTCAACTATAATTTAAACTGAGACGACATAATAGAAACTAAGCCTTCCTAATAAAGGATAAAGCATAAAGTTTTGGATTTGAGATTCTCTTGATCGCAACAACAGAGAACAAATTTGGCTGATAAGTGAGTTAAACTTATACTTTTTCAGCCTGAAAGTCATGAACAGTCTTTGAGTCCTCTGTGTTTGAGGAAAATAATCTGAGGCCAAACTGTGCTCTGCTACAAGCACAAGGAAGGTAGCTAGTGAGCAGCTCCACGCCCCTGCAGCCAAAATCAAATGGAATATCTCTCTTTGTTGAATCTCATATCAGATAATTATACTCAGAGAGGAATGGGCCTGGTAATGAAATGCTGGACATTTGGAAACCATTAGGTGATTAAAGCCAATGCATTATTTACTGCTTCAGCTGCTGCTAGAGCCACAGCAGCATAATAGGCATTTATATTCCATCACAGATAATTACCATCAGAGGACTCATATGGAATCCTCAGACTGATTCAAACATATCTGATTTTAATGGTTCTTTAGTGATTGAGTTAGTTAATTCATGGACCATGAGGATAGCAAGATTATTTTGAAAATAAAAAATGGAGGCTCTGCATTGCTGGAGTAGGTTGTGACACTGCTGTAAACATCTCTTATGCAATCAGAAACCTAATGGTGCAAGCTTGTATCAGCTTGTCGGAAAACAGGCACTCTTAGTGACATGTTTACATCTAAAGGACCAAAATAGTCAAAACATGGAGCAGTATGTTTATGTTGGTGCATCATTTATCCATATCTGAAAAAAAAAATCCCAGTGCATTGTGGGGAACTGTGTCATCTAATATGGATCACCTATAAATACAAATGTTGTCAATGTTTGAGAGTCTGCACCCGTGTTATCAGCTGGAGCTTCTGGAGCTTTGCTGCAGCTGTATAAAGTGATCATGAAGGAGTCGAACAGCTACGATCTGAGGGTGCTATTACATCGCCTTTGCAGTGTAATTACTTCTGTCCAAACCAGACATTTGGTTCCTTGGCAAGTTGTAAGGCAAGCAATTTCAAATTATTTTCTGATCTGCAACACAGTTTGTACACAGAGCCAAATAATCAAATTTACTGGCAAGTATCATGTTCCTCTGCTGGAGTATTTGACCTAAAGTTTAAAACGGAGTGCTAGTGCGGCTAAGTAAAAAAATTAAAAACATATTAATTATCAAACAGATACACATCATTAACTGAGTGATCCCTGATCTAAAAGGTATTTAAAATACGTGTGTAAAACAATAATAATAATAATAATAATAATAATAATACCAGCATCATAAACTGTAGCCACATAAGAGAATTATATACTAAAAGAATAGATTTAATCACTAGTGGATTGGTGGACTAGAGGTTAGAGCATTGCGCTTGGGTCTCGGAGGTTCTGAGTTCAAGTCCCACACACTGCCACTGGGTCCCTGAGCAAGACCCTTAACCCCAGACTGCTCCCCGCAGTGGCAGCTCACAATGGCAGCCCACTGCTCCCCAAGGGGACGGGTTAAATGCAGAGAGTTCATTTCGTTGCACTGTACTTTTGACAGGGTAATGACAATAAAAACGTTGGAAAATACAATTTACTGATGCTATACTTGCTTGAGACCCATTTCTGTTTAATTAAAATTCTAACATAGCTGCCTTATTGATATGGTGTGTTTTCTAGTTCCTCTCATTTTGAATCTTTGTCATGTCCAGTCCATCACATAAAGTGATACATTTTCACACTTTTATGGAATCCATCAGTCCTTCTCTGATACAATTTAAAAACCAGATGTTGTCTTGTGCTGTGTAAAAATGCATACTGGTAATACATTTCTCGTAATCTTTTACATTAACATTGGCTAAACTTATCTTTTTTGGAATGATGCATAATCATTCCTTTGCAGAGTAATAAAAGATTATTTAGTGATCTTTATATCCATTTTCACAGATAAACTGTGTTTTAAACTTGACATATTGTAGATGAAATCATGTCTTAGGTGTCTTTATACCAGCTTCTCACAAAAGGTTAACCAAGTCAGGTTAAAAGCTTTTTATGTTGTCACATCAATTTGTTACTGATCAAATTTGATTTCAAGCTTCAACTGCCTGAATGAACCTTCAACACATCCTTACAGTCTTGAAATATTGCATCAGCATTTCCACATACTGTAATGTCGTTGACCATTTTACAACGTTGAACTATAGTTCAGATATTAAGGTCTACTGTATGTTCCTGAGTGTATTTGCACACTGCATTTTGGCTTCTAACTGTATACTGCTTTGAAGTATTGGCCTCTTCCTCACTGAGTGGCCAGATAAGTATTTTAAACATTGGTTCTCTCATTGGTTCAGATTTAGCCAACGCCTTTGCTTGGTCCACAACTTTCTTTTCTTTATCCACCAATTATCTGACATTATTATTATTTTCTTAAGTTCCTTACTTCCCTGGGAGAAGTAAGTTTAGTTCCCCTTACTTCTCCCGAAATTTACTCATTACTAAAAAAAAAAAAGTTAGAACTCTAAATTTACAGTCAAATGTTTACATTACTGTATTTATATATATATATATACATATATATATATATATATATATAGATAGATATATATATATATATATATATATATATTAGGGATGCACGATATTGGGATTTTGGCCAATATCCGATATGCTGATATTTTAAAACTCATGTAGCCGATAACCGATATCGATACCGATGTTAAAGCTGGACAAAAATAAGTAGTCATTGAAAATAGCAGTTTTGTTATCCATTTCTGACACTTTGAAAAATAATTTACTCAAATATGTTTTCATATGCTGATATCAAATAGATTTTAAAAAAAGCGGTATCGATCTATTTTACTTTCAAAATCTCGTCAAATGTCATCATTCTGTTACAAACTCTCGCGATATTTTGCAAATTCTTGTGAGATTTTGTTAGTAAAATAGATTGATACCGCGTCAATATATCAACATATAAAAATATGGCAAAATTTCGTGAATTTTCGGGGGATTTCATAGCATAACGATGACATATAGCAATATTTCATCAGTAAAAGAGATTGATATGGTGTTTTTAAATGGCAATATATCAGCATATGAAGATATTGTGATATTTTAATGTATCAATATTTTTTCCCTCGTCTTTAGAAGTTTTTAAGTCTGTAAAAAAGAAGTATTTGAGGAAGAAAAAGAAATAGTATTTTAAAAACTAA